AAAAAAAAAAAAAAAAAAAACTCAACGGTGCCCTTCTCAATTACTTCAATACGTTCTGCAGCAAAAGGCTTGCTGATAAACACAAACCTGTTATCACTTTCCTGCTTTAATTTCATCGATGTTTCTTAGAAGAAGGACCTTTGGACCTGACCTGACCTTCAGGCCCTGAAATCTGCAAGCCTGCTGCCTTCTCCAGTCCAGTCCACCCCACTCACCTGCCTTCAGTCTGCTCTCACCTTCTGGAACACAACAGGTTTGTTTGTCTCAGGAATTTTACATGCATTCTGTCAGGCTGACAAAACAAAACAAAACAAAACAACAAAACCAAGAAGCTCTAAAATCATTCCTGTCTTCCCCAGTATTTCTAAATAAATTTGCCTAAATAAAATTTGCCTAAATAAATTTGTAAAACATTAACTAGAATATCTGTACTTTCCAAGAGAGTTTTCCCTTCTTCACAAACAATGTCTTTTATGATTATATACATAAAGCTTTTTTTTTTTTTAATAAAAAAATTACCTCTTCTGAACTAGCTTTTATACTCAACTGGCCTGGCAATCTGCCATTTTTATTTTTCGGTATAACTCCATTCCCTTCCTTACACAGATCTAATTCAGCATCTCTTGCCATATATATTCATTTCTGACAAAAAGAAATCATTTGCCTCAAAAAATGTTGCAGTGTAACTAGGATAAAAAAAAATACAGGAACACATACGGCAACCATGAAAATTGAATATTTAATTACCTAAAATGCTTGCTGCAAAAATAATACAACAGAGTACACTTTTTTACTTGATAGAAATACATTTTAAAAAGAAATATTCTTTTTGGAATCAAATGCTTATGCTTAAGATGAAAATACAGTCATCCCTTGGTATCCATGGGGGATTGGTTCCAGGACCTCGTGTGGATACCAAAATTCAAGGATACTTAAGTTCCTGGTATAAAACAGTTTAGTATTTGCGTATAACCTGTGCACATCCTCCTGTATACTTTAAATCATCTGTAGATTACTTAATAACTAATACAAAGTAAATGCTATGTCAATAGTTGTTATACTGTATTGTTTAGGGAATAACAAGGAAAAACAGTCTGTACATGTTCAGTGCGGATGTAACCATCTTTTTTTTTCTTTTCTTCAGTTTATTTGCTTGTTTGTTTTTATGGGAGCTAGCCAGTATGGAACTGAACTCTTGACCATAGTGTTAATAAGGCCTACATTTTTAAAACGTTTTTTAAAAATATTTTTGACCCAAACTTGCTTTAATCTGGATATGGAGGGCCAACTATATATATGGCTTAATTTTTCTTAATGGTTTGCAGAGGGATGAGAATAAAATGGATTTAGGACACCCCCCAAAATAATAATTTATTTCATATCTTATTTCCTGAGACTTAAAGTTTTTAGTATTATTCAGAAAGAAAAACAGTTTAAAATGTCATGTTTACATGAAAATTAATAATAAAATTAGACAATTCTGGGAATCATTAATATTTTGAAGTGTGTAGAATATTACAGTTTCTAGAATTTTAATTAAACCCGAATTGAAGAGACCCACACTGGATGGTCTTTCTCTTGATTGGTAGCAAAATATGCATACTCAAGAACCCTGAAAAAAATTTTCATTTATACAGATACACATATTTATTTTTTTCTATTTTTATATTTACTTGTATATATTTGTGGGGTTTAGTGTGTTGTTTCAATACATACGTATATTTCACAATGATTCACTTAGGGTAGATAGCATAGTTTTGTGCCCATTAGTTTACCACTTCTCTGCCCTCCTGTCCCCCCACTGCAATACCCCTTCTCCTCATGGCCTTTGGTAACCAATATTCTACTCTTTACTTCTGTGAGAACCACTTTTTTTTCTTTTTTCTATTTTTTTTTTTTAGATTCCATTATTCCACGTGTGAGTGATATCATGCGGTATTTGTCTTTCTGTGCCTGATTTACTTCCCTTAACATGATGATTTCTGGTTCTATCCATGTTGCTGCAAATAATAGGGTATCTTTTTTCTTTTTTCTTTTTTTTTTTCAAGAGCTGAATAGTATGACATTGTATGTATATACCACAACTTTTTATCAATTAATCCCTTGATG